ACCGAACTCTTTTACACTGAGCTGGAAAAAGAGCCGCCGTCGACTTGCAATCTTGGTGCTCCATGAATATTTTAGGCAACAATTCTTTAGAAGCTCACGAGTGGCACTTTTAAGCAGCTTGTTGTTGGCGACATTGTCAACCACTCACCTGCTGAGAGGGTGGTGCGGTTGACTGTGTTTCATTGTTTGTCATTAAAAATTAATAACTAGGCGCACATTGAGTTCTCATTACCATAAAAGCAATGAATAAGTAATAATACGATATGCCCCCTCGTGAGACCTCAAAATGCTCTACAATCGGCATATTGGCCAACACTCTGGCGTCATTTCCACGTTTCAATTTCATTGAATTGTCATTGAAAATCTCAAAGGCACACTGCCGCTTGCCTGCCTTCGTTTATTTCACAGAATATTTCGCGCCGTTTTTCTCTGTCCTCATGAAATATGCAAGTGAAAAGCTGGCATGAAAATGCTGAGTTTCCGCTGCATTTGTCTACACGCGACTTCGCCAGGCGCTGCCAGAATTACAGCGCACTGCCTTTTTCCATTATCTCCTGCCAGTTTTCTTCTTTTTCCCTCCCCAACTCTGCACTCGGCTCTTTTCTTCTTATTACATTTGCTCATTTTTTGTTTTGTTCAAATAGTTAGTTTGCAAAACGCCATAGTTCCGGCCAGCGTTCGTCTTACTGGCGCAGCATAACTCTGAAAACATAGCCTGTTGTTGGACCTGACGTTAGCTCCCGCTGTGGAACTGCGCAAGAGATTTTAAAATAGTCGTATATATATGTATGAAAATTAGATATTTTCTTTTGTTTTACAAACGAACGCCAAGGGCCGTTGGCCATTTGCACGGCCCCGACGCTGGCCTCGAAAAGTAGCTGCATTTATTTCCTGTTCATAATTCACGTAAATAATTTGCGAGATCTTGAGTTTAACATTTAAGTAGTTGGTAAAAAATTAAAGCGAAAACTATTGAAGCACAAATAGCTGCTCACTGATGAATATTCATTAGTTTCGCCGTCTTAGTAGGATGTTATAGCAAATATAAACATTTAATTAATCATTATCAAAGTCAAAGCAAAAGGGCAATTAAAACAAAATGATCAACAGTGTTTTTTAATATCAACATATAACATCTGTATCTTAGGATTGCATAAGTGTATGTAACAGGTTGAAGGATACCTCCAGGATCAAGAAGGATATCTTTAGCATAACAAGACAAGGCGTTAATTTAAGGCGTTCATCCAGACATTAGATATGTAGATGTCTAGATCGATTTGTGCCTTTATGCTGATGGAGAATATAAATACTTGATAGGGTATACAAATATTTATATTTGTTAAGTGTGTATAGTCAAGGGTCCAGGGCCGACTCCAGCATTTCATTTCTTGTGTCCCCCTTTCTCCGATGCAGATGAAGTGCAGTGCTGTCCTAAATTCCGAATATACATACGATCCATTTGTAGTATAGGAAGAACAATTATGCTATGATTGAGAAATCATGAAGCTGTGACATTTTTGTGCATGATATCATATTGATAAAAGCTCTCTATAAACGACTTCTTTCTTTGTTTAAATATGTATAAAGCTTAATATTCATAACCATATTCAATTGTAAGCGGTATATGCGAAGGGTAAAGAGAATGCAAGAAAATTCTATCAAAATATAATTGAATTCATATTTTGTTCGTTTCTTAAATTCCAATTAAATTTAAATTATTCACATATTTCATTGAAAAAGCCTGCGCAATATTGTAATCACCCACATTACGTATACGCCACGTGCCTTTGACACACGCACTTCAAAGTGTTGCACACTTCTATGGGTTTAAAATATATTTGTCTACTTGCGAGCCAATTTCAGGCCCCTTTTACTATATACTTCCAGGTTCGCGTGCAATTTATGTTTTCCTTTTCTTCTTTTTGCCATTTCACCTTCATTTTGTTTCTGCCCTCACACGCGCTCGGCTCGCTGTGCGCAACACTTCATTATTTATTGCCATAATAATTTTAACGCACAGCAACAACAACAGAAGTACGATAAGCTAAGGGAAAAACGCGCATCACGAAAATCATGTTTATTAACGTTTTAACTTAATCAGCAAGCGAAATGCATGCAAGCGATCCAAGCCAAGAATCAGCTACAACAACAGCTTTTGACGTTTTCGTGTATATGTCTGTGAGGTCTGCAAAACCATTAGCAGCTGAATGTGTCTGCCTTGTCTTCAGCACTGTCCGACATACTCGTTTAAAGCCATAAGTAAAAGCCCTGTTGTTGGTTGGCAAGTCTTCATGCATTTATCAATTGGAACCATACCTCGTACCGTGCTTATGAAGAACAAATTCCTTCTGCTTCACACATTTTTATGCCTTAAACATGCATACTTTGTCATATTTTGGGTGCATGGGTTCTTATTTTCAAGAACAGCCAACAAATGCTTGTGTATATTTTTGACATATGCTCATAAATTGTATGGCTTTAAGCATATTTGTGCAAACAGGAATACATACTATGTGTATGAATGTATACATTTATTGTATATTGGTATAAGGGTGTGAGCTTGAGGTTTCCTTTATGTGTGATACTGTTATGAAATCACATTTGAAAGTCTGGCTTCTCGTCAAATTTTTATATGAATTTCACATGTCAATAACGTGCCCCCAGCTTTAAATTTAAATAACTTGCACAATTATCTTTCGAAAAAAAAAGAAATATGTACAATAGAACATTTTATTTGTTCTTAGCCGAAGAAGATTCTTAGCAACCGCACCTTTTCAACCGCTCGAATACAGGATATAATAAATGTTAATGGCAAGACAAAGTGATTTAGAGGTTGACAGATGGTAAGATACCCTGTTCATGAAATGTACAGATCCCACATGTAGTTGTATATATATTCTTTATCAAGGTGACGGACGAGTCGATACGGCGATCTCAGAAAACATAAGACCTAGAATGGCCAAACGTGGTATCCAGATTCTCCTAAAACTGAGAATGTACGAGCACTCCTCCGCTATAAGAGATTCTACATCACTGCTTGAAATTTGTTACTCAAATTCGACAACCATATTTAGTCAGTCCGTTTTCTTTTAAATTATGAATGTAAATCATGACAATAATTAAATTTCGAAATATTTGAGTACACTGTCTAATCATTAATAATTCAAAAAATTGGTTAGAACAATTTTAAAGAGCACGTAATATTAAACTACTATGGTTTTTTTTGTCTTAATGAATGAATGTATGTACGAATATGTATAATAATATACACGCATACCAAATATTCACAATATTCTAAACGGCTTTCCTGTCACCGTTTAATCTTGTAATGAAGCCACACATTCACACACACATAGAGAGAGAGAGGGAGGCGAAGAGACTCATACGAGTACGTATGTCGGCATAAACCCATAAAACATTTTCATTTAATTGAAACAAATGCGTGCTGCGTATCAATTTAAGCTAAAAGTACAACTAAACACACACAGACTAGTTGTGAAGAGCAATAAAAACTAACGACAACAACGCTATATACAAGATCACAGACAACATATATAGCACAGATTGTAGCAATCAAGTGGCAGCCAACAAATTCTGTGTTCCCTCAACAGCAAATGAAACTCGAGCATGTGTCGGTCGATGTGTACATTTGACACCGTTTGCCCAGTGAACCCACTGGTGGAGAGTGGGAAGGAGGGGGGAGGAGAGCGCACAACCAAAACATAACAATGGACAGTTGATTATTGCCGTTGCTGTTGTTATTGTTTTCGCTGGTTACCAGGTGCCGGTGTCGGTGCCGGTCCTGATGCTGATGCTGATGACGGTGACGGTGCCGTCGCCAATTGAAAAGCCGTCAATGGGCACCCCAAAAGACAGCGAGCTCGCTATCAAAATCTATGTAAATTACACATACTCGACAATAATCATGCTCAGAGAGTGTGTGTCTGTATCAAAACGACATCAAACACGAGTGCGCAGAAATATAGATAAATATACTCACGAGTATATAGACATTTTATTGTCTGACCCGCCATAACGACAACAGCACGAGTACAACCAGATTATGTGAAAGAGCCATCGCGACGGTTGCTCACAAAATGCGAAAATGGCGTCTGCACGCACCTGATGTCTGATTGTTGAGCAGATGTTGCATACGTATGTGGAAGTGGCTCAAATTGCTAGAGATTGTACACTTTTTTATCAAGTAGTCCAAAGATCCTTTAAAGAATATACTAAAAACATCAATCCGATCCCCTTATAAATTACCAACAGTTGCATGTGGAAAGTGTTTTTAAACCTCAAGGTAATTGTTTTTGCTGTGTAAGTCGATGACACGTATTATGGGGAATCGTGAACCGTGTTCTCCTGTCTGTTTCAATTATAACTCCTTCCCTAGTTTTAGAGTCATCGTGATTAAATAAAGAGCTTCATTTTGACGAGCACAGATGTCGAGACCAACTTAATATTAATATTAAATCCTAAGCAAAACTCCTGTTTCCTTTAGCTTAAGATTGGAAATATATTGCGTGTTCAGAATGTTATCTTACGTAGATTTTAGATTTTTTATTACAATAATGAAACACAAGCAAAAACAAATCAGTGTTCCATTTTGGAAGGCTTTTGATAGCACATAGATTTGAAGCAGTATTTGGAAACTGCGTCAATTTACTAAACAAATGGCTGGTAGCAGAGAATACATACGTGGCTTGTAACAAAAACATTATTCACAACCTCTTACTTAATAGCTATCCTTCCTCTCTGATTTTTGTTTTGTCGTTAAAGGCCTTAATTTTCGACCCTCATCATTAGATCATATGCTCCTAATTTTTTAAGTGAAGCAAACAAATCAGAATTTCTGTGTAATGGCAGAATGACTATATTTTTACAGAAATAACTTTTCTTTAAATCTATCTCTATTTGCCTATCGATTCTCTCTTTCGATTTGCCTGAAACCACGAAATTAAAAACCATTTCATCTTATAACTGGCAATTTATTTGCTTTAACTCTGATAACCACTCAAAAGATTTTCATTGTACTGCGGCTTATTGGCGAACCACACGCTGGGATTTTGGTTTTGTGCCGCATTGTTATTATTTGAGGTACCGGAAGAGCCTTGCGGTCCACGTGGTCCTGTCGGTCCTCGAGCGCCAGGCAAACCTGTTAATACGCAAGAATATGTGCAGATAGTTAAAGATGCGCCAGACCGACATTTGTATACCCTCTACCCATCCCCTTCTTCGCCACAGTTCTTCAACTATGGCAGCCATGTGACATATTGAACAGATTTTGGGATAAGTATGGTGAGGATTATAATAAACTCATAAACTGTGGCGCTCAGACTACTTAGTATAGCTTTTAAATTAAGTTGCCAATATAGTATGAAGATTTACCTCGTGGTCCGGGTGGTCCTGGTGGACCGGGTGGCCCTGGTGGACCTGGCACTGGTATGGGCAGGAAAGCAGTGGTCTGCAGTGACTCTTCCTTTTCGGCAGCGTTGATGGGCATTTGACTCTGCAGAAGATTCAAGTTAATGCCGGGCCAATTGATGCCTGTTTGGCCCTGCACATTGAAGCCCAACTGAACGCGTGGCACCACATAGACGGGTACAGTATTGGTGCGAACATTGTTGTTATTGTTGTTCGACATTATGGGTGGGCCATACGCAGCCAGAGGGTAGCCCGAAAGCTGTGGCAGCATATACTTAACATTCTGATCGTTCATCACTGGTATGGCATTGGAGTAAAGATAGTCCGGAACCTTGCGACTATCTTTATCGCCTGCGTTAGGCTCCATAATCTGCGGCTCATGAAAACTGGGCTCCTCATTGTCCTTCGTGTGCGAATCGCCCTGAGAGTAGATGACGATTTGTGGGCCCGAGTCTGAGTTTTCGGCTGCACTGCGTCCTGTGCCCAGCGTGCGTCTTTTGGCCGAGAGACGAGAGTCGACACCATTGTTGATTGCGAGAAACACGAAGAGCACTTAAATGAAACAATTCAGAGTCAAGTGGAGCAAAATTTTTTATATAACTTATATTTGCTTACCCAATATTTTGGTCGTTGCCGACATGATTGGAAACTGTTGGGCATTTGAAGTTGTGCGCATGCTTTTATACGCCAACATTTGGAGATCAACTGGAGCTATGATTGCAATCAGCAATTTCTTCGAATGGCAGAGGCTCAGTTACATATTGTCAGCTTGGGCTAAAAGGCAGTTCAGTCAACTCGCCAAAGATCTTGAAGTAATCAATTAAAATAGCTAAGGAGCTAGATACATGCCCGTTCATCGCTAACTGGGTCAGTATAGTCACAAACAAGTTTTACCTAAGCAAAATTTTGCCTTTCGATGGCATCTAAGTAGCTCATTGGCTTACAACAAAGTGGTGGAGATTGCTAATCTAGACATAAACTAACTGATCTGAGTGTGCAGAGGCTTGTTCAAATCGATGCTATAACGTATTTAGTTGGAGTCAATGCGCTTAGTTATATTATTTATATTTATAGATACTCATTAAATTTTGTCGTTTGCAATAAATTTCAGAATACATTACATTACATTTGAAATACTATACTCGTGCATACATTATATTTTGCCATGTGCACTAAAGATTTGCTTGCGTGCTGGCCCCTGACCATTTTGGCATTTCCTACTTTAAAAAACATTCATTTTCATCAGGCAGACAACACAACAAACATACTATAGACTATAGTCTGTATGTATGAAAAAGTAGTAAAATAGTTGCGAAGAAATAAAATAATTCTAACCAACAGACCAACCAATGAAACCGAAAGTTCAAAATGTGGCACAAAACTACGAGCAATACAAAACTGTACCATCAAGTGCATAAGCAAGATCCAATTCAAAGTAACCCAAACAATGCCAGGGCGTTTAATTGAATTAAATCAGTATTGTCGAGCGACAGATAATGCTGGCAATTAACTTGCAGAACCAAATCTGCAGCCAGCCAAATAAGAGGGACAGAGATGGAGGCAAATAGCGATAGAGACTATGACAGCAGGGGATCGCAAATCAGCGCGCTTAACTTAACCCCTTTTTTATTTTAAGAGCTGTAATTGAACAACCCGCAGCATTTGCTCTGGGGCTTTGGGGGTGACACAGAATCGGATGCTAATGCAGCAACATACACCCAAAACCCAAATGCCAGACTAGTCATGCAAATACACCGAGTGCCAGTGAACAGTTGAATAAGATTTGTCGTGGCGTGCGCGTCGTGAGCGCGCACGAATCCATCGAATCCTGCCACTCAAGCGTCTGAGGTTAATAATAAAGAGGAGCTGCCGGAGTTCCAATCGCGTTGTGCGGCCATGCGGCGTGGCTGCCATCGTTGGCCAGTATGGTGGCTCGTGTGGAAATTGAAGCTGCTTATGCTGCTGCTTTTGATTCCAATGGCCACGGCAGTCTCTCTGCCCAGCTCCGGTCAGCTGCGTCGCATTTGGCTGCAGGATCACTGCAATGCGGGCATTTGTGCGAACGTAGAAATCGGTCGCAATGACTATGTTATATTGTCGCAATCGCCGATTGCCAAGCAAGTGATGCTCACGTTCGTGAACTCCAGCATTGCCAAGATACCGCATCTGATGTTCGACACATTTCCCGACCTGCAATTGCTGCGCATGGAGAACTGCTCGCTGGAGACGTTCGAGAAACCGCAGTTCGAGGGCGCCAGCAACTTGATGAGCCTTTTTCTCGGTCACAACCGTCTTAAGGATATACCAAAGAACATCTTTCTTGGCGCTGATAATTTGAATACACTACATCTGGAGGACAATCAACTGCGTACTTTGCATAATCACAGCTTCAGTGCCCTGAAGGAGCTCAAAGAGTTATCGCTCGCAGACAATCAGCTGGAACAGCTGCCTTTGGGCGTGTTTGCGGGCATGCGCAAGCTTTTAGATCTAAACTTGGCGGGCAATCGGCTGACGGGCTTCCCACGCGGCATCTTTGACCGCAATTTGAACTTGACACGCGTTAATTTGGCACGAAATCGCTTCACAGTCTTTGAATCGGAGCTGTTTAAGTTGCAGCCCCGCATGGCGCTTTTGGACTTGTCGGGCAATATCTTGCACGAGTTGACTCTGAACTTTTCCCTGCTAGAGCTCATTGTGGCCCAGGGGTGCGATCTGCGTCGACTCACTGTTTACGGAGTTGTGCATGAGTTGGACCTGCGCAATAATTCGCTGCGAGAAATGCCGCATATACCACAGGCAGTGAATGTGACAACCCTGGATTTGTCACAGAATCCCCTCGGCAATTTGCAGGGCAATCCTTTTCGACGTTTCACCTCCTTGCTGCGTCTTAATCTCTCGACAACAAATATTCACGAGCTGGCCGAGGGCTTGTTTAAGAAACAGACGCAATTAAAAATGCTCGACATATCGGGAAATACAATATACTCGTTGAAAATCACGCTCTTCGACAGTCTGAAGCAACTGCAGTATTTCTACTTTCAGCAGAACAACTGGAACTGCGATTTTCTGCAGCTGCTGATGAGCTCGTTTGTCAAGCGGCGGGACATATCCTTCATGGAGGATGTTACAGCGCCCGAGTTAGTCGATGATTATGTCGATGGCATCGCCTGTTGGTATGAGAGCGACAAGTTTTCGAAAAAATGCGACGGAGATGGAGGCGGCAGTTCGCTTTCAAATGCGGCCATTGAGCTCTCCGTGGTCCGCAACGAGATCAAAGCATTCACCGAAGTGGTAGAAAAGAAGTTCGTAAAAGTCTATCGCATGTTGGAGGAAATGAAGTTGAAACTATAACCACATTTATATATCAATCAAATAATCAAAAGACGCATTTTATAAAATGTGTTCTATAACAAGTATCTACTCTCTATTTTACTCCAAACATTATTATTATCTACCATATTCTCTGAACCTATTGAGTAAGAATCTTTGACACAAGCAAGCAATGGATAGATTAATACTAAGGCTAAGTTATGACTAATAAAGCATATGGCAAAACTCTTTTAATTCTCAATCGTATTAATTTCATCAAATTTACGTCGATATTCATATCGCAATGGCTAACAATTAAATTGTAATCTAATGCAATAGCTTAATATGTTCTACGTATGTTCTACCATACCATAAAAAAACGCACCATATAACTAAAGCAAATTCTGATAAATTCTATCAGAACACACACACACACACACACATATCACATATCAATAATCCCACATCATATTTTTTAATGGGCTGCCAACGGCAACGGCGATGGAAGCGCGGTAACCGACAACATTGATAAATAAATTTATAAAATTCTTTGTATACTCTCTGCTCAGTATGTATATGTGAATGTTTTTTACGACTGTCGAAATAATCAATATAAACATTCACAACAGCAATAAAATAGCCATTCAATTGTTGAGTATATCAAGCCAAAAATTACGCGCAACCACGACGCATGCCATTGTTGAACCAGCAACGTTTTTGCAGCATACTTTTAAGCGCATCGCATTTCGAATTTGGATGGCAGAGTTGCCATATTGTTGTCAAGTTTTTGCGCTCACCAGTACTTACAGCATACGTGAGCCTGTATTTCAATTATCCGTAAATGATTAAAAGCAATAATTGTATGGGCAGGTTCGCTTTTCTTTCTTTATTCAGATTTGTTTTAAACTGATAATTGAAGCGCCTAGAATAAAATGCATCCGTAGCTCTATAAAGCCAACAAATAAAATTTGCATTTTGTCTATCTTTGTTTAACGGATAACCTTGCCTTTTATCTTCCAAACCATAGAAAACCAAATCCAAAAGGTTTTATAATAGCTGGTATGTCATATAGAAAAAAAAACAACAACAAATAATACAAATTTTATATAGACAATATTTCACAGATACATACGGAGTATAATCGCTGCCATGCTTATGGTTGAAATTAGTAAAATATAATTTGTGAGATTCATTTTGTGACGACTGCTGCTTTAGAAATATGAAAACCAAATGAAAATAAATAATTTTGTTGGGGTAGCAAATCTACATTATTATGGTAAATATATTTTCATGGCTCATTATGCAATTTTCTTGAAAATTATTAACGCTTAGACAGACGTAAACCTATAATGTACTTCCCAACAGTACACGTGTATACCGCATACGTATGTTGGTATTGCAATTATCAGTAAAGGAATTAAAGGCAATAATTATATAGGCACGTTCGCTTTTCTTTTCTTTATTCTGATTTGTTACAAACCGATAATTGAAGCACGTAGAGTGAAATTCTCTTGTTGCTCTATAAAATTAGAAAACAAATAGGATTTTACATTTTTTCTTTCTTAATTTTAACATGAACTCTTGCGTTCTATCTGCCAAACCATCCCAAACCAACTGGTTTTATCACCGCTGGTACGTCATATTGAAGAAAAAATAATACAATTTTTATATAGAGAAAATATTACAGATACTTACGGATTATAAATGCTCCCATTATTATATAAGTAGAAATCAGAAAAATGTAGTTTGTCAGATTCATTTTGTGGCGACTGCTGCTTTAGAAATATATGAACATATTAAAAACAAAATATGTTATTAGGCGTAGCAAATATACATTTGTTGAAGAGTTGTATATTTGATTATCGTGGCAAATGCATTTGCTACCTCATTATGCAATTTTCGTTTAAATTGTAAGCCCTCAGACAGACGTAATCCTCAAATTTACCTAAAAACCAAAATTCTGTCAGCCAGGGGGCATGACAAATACTTTTACAGCTTTTGCCATTAAGTCGTTTTGTTTCTACTACTAAGACTTTAGTACGCTTCTATGTAAGCAACTTCCGTTTTCCGTATCCGACGCGTCGTTTGTCTTGTCATTGCATGCGAGCAGCTGTAGGAGCAACAGGATCAGGCGTAGCATCTGCGCTTTGTCTACATTGTCATCGTTACAGCGTCTGGCAAGGACACACACACACACACACATACAACCACAAGGAAAAACGTAACGGCAACGTTAAGGTTATAACGTAAGCGCAACATATGCGGCCCACCCACACAACGAGGGAAGAACGTCTGCGTCGTCTTATGCCTGTCTTCAACTAAATACATTTGGCAACTTTATGAAAATGTTTTCTTTGTTGCTTTTGCCGTTGTTGCTGTTACCCTTCGTGTGCCGTAAGCTCATTAAGAAAACAAAAGCTGCAACACAAAAGTTTTGCCTTACTTTGCACCCGTGCTCCATTGTTATTGTTGTTGTTGTACATTTATTGCTGCTGTTGTTATAATTAAGTTGACTTTATTACAAAATTTTACTCCAACAAGTGCACACTGCTTAGACTCTATTTTGTACAACAGTCAGCTGGAACATCTATTGAACTTTTACACTCTTAAATTATTAATTATTTTGTTGTTTCCTGCCCTTTGGGCGCCAACAGCTGCTACTTACCAGAATTTTATTTAAGCTGGACCAAGTCCAAGTAGTGGTAGTTTGTTAAAGTTGCGCAGCCCGACTTAGAAAGTTCATTTTTCATTTGAACTAGGGAATCGGAATGCTCATCAGAGGTGGCGTTAAACTGAGTTCCTAGAAATATTCGAAGGAAGACATGCAAATGTTTCTTTGGCAGCTCACTTAATCCATTGATTCAGGTTGGCATAGTATTTGCTGGTTATACTGCAATCAAATTTCCAATCATTTGGTTTTCGGAATTATTGGCCAATACGAATAGCAATATGTTGGCATTCTAGTCTCAAATCAAATAGAAATACGTACTACACGATGCCAATGTGCGTGAGTATTTGGGAGCCGTTTGGCGAATAAATACGGCCTTCATACGTGAGTATACATTCATGCGGACGTGCTGTATGCAATGCCTAAAAGGCTGCAACATTTTCTGTTTGTTTAAATGCGTCCCGATAAGCGGGTGGTTATATACCGAAATGTTGATTTCAAAGCCAAATGTACAACGCTCTGTGTTTGCCACTGAGGAATTTCACCTGCAAGGCAAATATCAATTTGAATCAGCAAAATCATTTATTCTATAAATACGGCTTTAAATTGTTTAACACGTCTTTAAATTGCAAGCAGACGTTATGTTTTCCTATATCAGCTTGATTGATAGTTTCAAAAATTAAACATGATTGCTGTTTCGAACTTTTTAAAATGAATTGCGATCAGATTCAACATTCATAATTAGGATACCTTGAAGAAAATACCCAGCAGATGCCATATAAAGATCCCAGTGACAAATGCGTAGATGTTTGCTTTGTCCAACTCCCCCTGGAGTATACAATAGAGTTGGTTCGGCTAGGGCACCTACTTCATCTACGGCAGGAATTCAGTAACCATTGCCATGTTAGTTCAAGTTCAATAAGCTACATCGATAGGTCATGGAGGTATAAAGGTGGTATTAAAAGACACAGTAAAGCTATATGACGACTCTACAGGTGAGGATAACTTTTCCTTTTGTATTTATTTCAATGTTCTAGGGCTACTTTATAAAATCTTATGAAATATGACTAATTAGTCGTGCACAAAATACTTAGCTAACCGTAGAATAAGTTTTCAAGTTGTTTACCTCACCAGCTTTATAATGATTCTAGTTATGAGCCGGAACAAAATATGCAATATATTTTATTCAAAACTATTTCGGTATTTTCCTCGAAACTGTTATAGGATGTGCATAAAAATAATAAATGATTCACCTACAATTACACACGCAATTAGGCGTTTATGCTAATTTTTAAATAATGTCCACCTCGTTTGGGCCGGACATTAGCGGTGCAAACAGTTGGCTGACGAGCAAAGCGTAAATTACGAACTGCAAACTCTCAGGTATACAGGAATGAGAAAATATGTTGCACACTCTTGTGGACTTCACTTTTTTCCGGCATGACTGTTGAGCAACATTTCTGCGGCGCATAATTAGACGTCACATGAATAATATATGCATGAATATAGTGTCTGTGTCTGTGTGTGTGCGTCTGCATGTGTAGGTGTATGTGTGTGTGTGCGTGTGTGCACTAGCAAACGAGGCGTATGCGCAACATGCGTTTGCATAAATTCACGCTTAATTAGCAGCAGATACAACAGGAGCAACAAAAGCAACTGCCACTTTGTTGTCATCCACATGAAGGCGCAACTAATTAGCGGTTTGAAATAAGCTTAAATGTAATTTAATAAAACAACCAAACAGCACAAATTTTGGCAACTAATTGAGCAAAGAGCACACAAACACAACACAAACACATGCACGAAAAGGCAACAACAATGAGAATAAAAAAGAAGAGAAAAAGAAAATTAGTTTTCTACATGCATGCAACAAATTAAATTTGCCACGCGCTCGCTTTCGTGCCACGCACGTTCCTCTGTGTTATTAACTGGCTTTTTGGCGCAATTAGCGTGTGGCTACGCCCACCTTCTTGCGCCTCTCCACTCATTTGCCACACGATGTTCCGCTGACGCTCGTGTCTGTACGTGTCTTCCAAGAATTTTCGGTTAATTCTGTGCTACTTGCAGCACTCGCTCTAGGTGGCAAAGTCAACTGCAACCAAACAAAGCCCTGCCGCACTCTCAAGTAAGCATCTGACTGTAATGCACGCACGTAGCTCTGAGTATGAGTGTCTGTGCGATGCGATGCGTTCAGTTTCATTGTGGTGTGTATATTGCAACTTTTAACAAAATTGTTTAACCAAGTCGTAAGCACGTAGGGACAGTAGAGTTGTGGCCAAACATAAGTAAGCATACCTCTACTTAAAAGGTTAATGAAAAGGAAAACCAATTAATATCAGACCTTACTTAAGGTAAAGAACAACTGAAATCGCTCACAAAACGAGTTAGGAAAATAAATATGCCTGTGTTTTAATAAAGTCGGAGAGTTTTTTGACGCTCCCTTTTGAAATTACTCCGTGACCCCAGTTGTATTTGAACAAGTTTGCATATTCATAAACTAAACATAAAGCGTAAACGCAAATTTTAATGGAAATTGTGGTTTTTCCAAACATGATTACATGTACATAATTGAAATAGAAGAATACAAAAAAAAAAAAAAAAAAAAAAACACAAATATTTTACTGTCTACACCTCTTGCAAAGAAACACAAAAACACGCCAAATATCATTATAATATACATAGGCCAAATGCATTAAATAACATTTCCGTTTCATCTGCATTTTTAAATCGAGATTTGTAAATAAACGGTTGGAAAAACAGTCCTCATTACGTGGAGTCCTACCCACGAGTCAAGATTCGAAAAATGAATATTGTGAATCATTTGTAGCAACAACACTCGTTTATAAATAAGCGCATATAAAAGTTTACATGTTTAATCCAATATTAAACAAGAGAAAACGCTACAAAAACAATTGGAGACAACACCACATTTTGTTCGTATTGTTTGGTTACAAGCTTTTTGTTCTGACATATTCATTAAACAATCACTTAACAATGCCAACGAGTAAGTTTGCATATTTATATTGAATTCCTAGTAATTTTTTTCCCTGCTATTGGAGCAATTGAACGAAATGCTCGTGGTCCTAAACCACTGCACCGAAGTAAAACATTTAAATTGTCAATCCTTAGCCCCAAAGCTCATTTGCTGTTGAGTGGACTCGTACACAAAAAACACAATACATTGGCTTAACATTCGGTATCTGCTCCCCTGCTGCCCAAAGCGAATTGCATCTCATACAGAGAGTTCACCCGTTAGCGACAAATGCCGGACTGGCAGCAGCAGCAGCTCACACGACAAATCATTTACTTATTATATGACCCACAGTCGAAAGTTTTGCATTTGACAATGGTAAGAAAATTTAGCTCTTGGCCATGCAGCGGAAACAATTCGTATGCCATGGATTACAGATAAAGCCCAAAGCGTTCTGTTGTTGCTGCAGTGGCTTACCTTTTGCATTAGACATTTTGTTGGCAGCTGACCAAGCCCGCACAAAGAGAGCCAGAAAAATGAAAAGAGAGCGGGAGGAAGGAAGATGAGAAGGGAGAGCGCACATGCATTCCACTTCAATGGACAATGCTACGAAACCAACGCCGGCTCGGTCTGACATGCTTGCCATTGCATTCAGCGGCTGTGCCATTGTTGCGTCCCGTTCAATGGAATGCGCAACTCCCTAGACCGCCCAAGCTCGCTCCTCCTTAGGGATGGCTGCCAGAGGCGATCGTGATTGAGAATTTCAAGATAGTCACGACTTGGAACTTGCATAGCATACTGCAATTGAAAGAATTTGTTTCGAACTTACTATATATATCATATTTCCCGCTTAGGTTATTCTTGAATCGGTTTTTGTTATTTACATGAGTATTTGTGAACATTTTATAGTCATCATAGTGATCTCACTATAGCTCAAAAACTATAGGAAATAGACCGATGAATAAATATCGCGATTTAGATTCGACTTGTTTTGCTGATCCAACGGATCCGGAACCCTTACATTTATCACTTGCATAGCATACTGCAATTGAAAGAATTTGTTTCGAACTTACTATATATATCATATTTCCCTT